TTTAATAAGGTTTTAATATAATTTAATCAAGTTTTACTTTTACCATTTAGACGTCTGTCTAAACTCTTGATTTCATTCAGCAACCTTAGTTATAGGTTTTGGATTGTGAGGAGTTGTTGGAAGAGAAGTTGATAATTCTAAAAAATATAAATTTAAATTTGTTAAAATAAATATTGAAATTAAACTAAATAAATTTTTTACCTTGATTTCTGGTAGCTATTCTTGCACACCTCCTTTCTTAAACTCGAGATGCTAAATAACAAAAATAATGATTTTTAATAATGATTTTTCTTCAATTAATATCAATTGGAAAGTTTTATTATTCCAACCTGGTCTCTCCTAAAATGAGATTTTGAATTATTCTCTAAAAACTTCTCTAACATGTGTTCACTTTCCTTTCGCATTTTCATCAGCATATAATTCAAACAACTAAAGAAACTAAAGAATTAAAATTATTAAATTATTATTGTAAAATACAATTAATATAAATAATTTTGTTTTGTATTTACTAATAATTTACTTACTTTACAATCTCTGACTATTTCTTTAAATTTTTTTCTTGCCTGTAATCCATTAAATACTGTCGTAAATCTTTCCTGAATCTATACGCAATCTCATTTCAAAAAGGTAACTTTGATTTTCCAAATCTTCTCTAGTAATCATCATTTCTTTCCCTTCTTAAATCGATCAAATATTGCATTTCATCATCTGACCATTCAATTGTAGTAGGAATTTTTGAAATTTGTTATTTAAAAAGATTTAAAAATTGTTAATATAAATATTAAACAATTAAAGAAATAAAAACACAATAAAACTTTCCTTATATAAAATTTTATCGAAATATGTCAGCATTTAATTAGTTTAATGAGTTGGCAAAGTATCTAATTTTTATGCAACAATCAATAAAATGATCTAATTTTTTAGCAATTTCAAAATTTACAGTTTTCGCAATTGAAATTTTCGCAATTTTAAAATTTGTGCAGTTTGTTTTTATAGTTTTGCAATTGCAATTTCAAATTTGTATTACAAAAATTAAATAAATTGAATCAATGAATTAATCACCACTTATTAGTGATACCTGACTAAACTCTTTTTTGAAAAATTATAATTTTGTCAAAAGTTTTGTTTTTTTAATATTTTTATATAAATAAATATAAAATTATTATATTTTTAATGTATTTTAATTCAAGGAATTTAGATCAAGTTAAATATAATTTTGGCAATTAAGTAAAATAATTTTGTCATTAATAAAAAACTAGTTTCATCATTTTGGTTTCGTCAATTTCGACATATTAAGAAAGGTAATTTCGTCAGGTATCACTAGATTTATGTATAAAATTAAGGTTTTGAATAATAGTAATTAAAGATTTTCTAAAATTTTCCATTGCCATTATTACTCTATTATTAATATAAGCATCTAGTTGTTTCAACTGCCTCTCAATAAAAGGAAATAAAGGAAGGTTTTTTTGCTGAAAAAATTTAAGTCATTTATAAATTTTTGTGCTTAAATTTTAATAAAAGAAAGATAAATTTGAATGCAACCATTTTTGGTTGTATTATTGTAAATTTTCATTAGTTTTTCTATAGTTTTATTATTATTATTTTTTTATTTTTTCAAATAGAAGTTTCGAAGAAGTTGATAATGATCATTTATATAAAAGGTTATTTTAAATTAAGAATTTTATTGAGTAGCAACAGGTAGAGGAACATTTGTAGAATTTTGTATACCATTTCTTGATAAAAAGAAAGGTATTGTATATACTGAGCTTTAACCAAAATAAAATTTTCTTTATATTTGCCAATTGAGTTTTTACTAAATCAAAATATACAAAAGAGATTTAGTTTAAGTTATTAAATGGCCTTTAATTTAATTAATTTAATCAAACTATTTTTTATCTAATAAGATTGAGAATATATACTAAATAAGGTAAAAGAATAAGTTGAAGCATAATTGGCTTGAGAACTTCGTGATGACTTTTTTTCATATAAGATGCTGAATCTGATGCTAAAAAACGTGAAAAATTAAATAGTATAGACCATTTTATTAATGTATGAATGATAAGTAACATTGTTAACAGAATTCAAAAAATTAACTGCTATAAGTCTCGTATTACTATAATAATTAAACAAGATATTAACAATGCTTCAAGCTCAAGTATCATTTGTTTTATCAACAATTATTGATACTGTTTTATTTTAAAAATCTTCTTTAAATTATTAATATATTGTTGATAAATTTCTGGTAAGTAATTTCACCTCAATGCATCAGTTTGTGAAATTGCATCACCTTCATGATAATATTTTTTAAAAAAAGATTGGAGTGCATTTATTTTTTCTAAAGGAATGTTTGCTTTAACAAATGCTTTTACAAGATCCTGAACTACCCCTTTTTTAAATTCTGCAACAGATAAAACTCTGTCTAAAGTTTGAGGATAGGTATTTTGTATAGCTGTTTCATAATTTCTTTTATTTTTGATATGAACTTTACTTTTAACATGTGAAAAAACACTAACTTTGTATTCCCAACTAACAGAATATCCACAAAAAAGACACATGAGAGAATTATTAAGAATGTTAAAAGTATTTAAAAATCTTTTTGATAAGTATATAAAGTAACTCATTTGGTTTTGGCTAACATCTTTTGCAATGAAATGCATTTGTATTTAATCAATATCCAATCATATTTTTGTACCTCGTAATTTTGAACCAATAATATTTTTTAAAGTTAAAATAGGTAAAATTTTGAAAAATTTTTGATTTAATCAAAAATTTTCAAATTTTTTCAAAAACTTGCTTTCGAAAATTTTACAGGTTCCTGATATAGAATAACTTTTTTGTAAGTTTTATAACTTTTATAAGTTTTAAGTAATAAATAAAGAAATCAACTTTAAAATATAATTAGTTTTCTTTTATGTGTCTATTATCTAAAATTTGATTGTAAATCATTACACTTACTTACTTTTGAGTTCATTACTTAGAATAAATAAATTTTCTAAGATTTCCTAAGTTTTTAAATCTTTAAGTTTGTAAAGTTAAGCAAAATAATTCTAAGGAATTTTAGATACCTGTAAGATGTGAGATTTCTTAAGGTTGTAAAGTCTGATAATAAGAAACTTACTTGCTACAGTAAAATAACTTAGTTCAAAATGTGATAAGAGAATTATTTCTGGTAATAATATTCAATATTATAATAAAAAAAAGTAAAAAATAAAATTATTAATAAAATTGTAAATTTAATTTTTTTGTTATTTTAATTATGAAATCATATAATATTAATTAATTATTTTTTCAAATAAAGACAAGTTATTTTTAAATTAGTTTTTTAAAAAATAAAAATAAAATTTGGATATTTTTATATTTATAATTAATAAAGTTATAATTAAATGTTATATAATAATATTGAATAATTAGAAATAAGTGAAAATTTGATACTGCTAAACCAATTAATTAATAATATTAATATAAAGTATAATATGATTCTTAATTCATAATAACTTTATATATAATTTGCTTAAATAATTATAATTATTTTCTTATATATACCTTTTATATAATATTTATAAGATTTATTTAAATCATGAGCTTTTTCCATTATTCCACATTTTTTGAGCTTTCTCTTGTTGGTACCAACCAAATATCTTGATAATATTCTCTCAGCAATTTCTTGAGATACAAATTCTTCAAATTCTAATCTTAATGGTAAATTTATATCAAATATCTGACTATTAATAAACTAAATTGCATTTAATTATAAGATAACTGGTAGTAAAAAGCTGTATTAGAATGGTACAAAATTAAATTGAACAGCTTACATAATTTAAAATAATTAATACAAGAAATCATTTTTTTACATTTCATTTATTTAATAAAAAAGAAATAACAACAAATTTTATGAATCGATTTTTCATTTAAACATTCGAACTAATATACAATATAAACAATATGTATTTATCGCATCAAAAAAAGCCAAAATATCAACAACCATCAATTTGTGAAAAAAAATCTGATAACATTGATGAAAATGTTAAAATTTTCTTTATAACATCGTTTCAATCCTATTGTTTTTATATCAATCCATTCACAGCATGAATTAAAAGTCCAATATTCTTCAAACAAGGACTTTGGGCGTCTTGTGTAGCTATCTGGTAGTAATGCTCTTCAAGTCTTTGTTTTACCAGCGGCAAAATCCTTTCACAATGCTCCCTAATTATATGGTCCTAAAAAATTTTTTTGTAAAAAAAAAAAAATAAAATAAAAATTCCAATTAAAAAAAAATTTCAAATAATATCGATTTATACCTTCGGATTAAGTTTAATAACAGCCTCTTCTATCCATGCTCGTTTTAATTCCGAGAATTTATTCAACTCCAAAGAAAGATGATGGATGAGTGAAAGTATAACCGGCTGTGATAATAAAGGTCTAGAAGGATGAAAGACATTCTTTGGATTTACTTTGTTGCAAAGTCTTATAATTAGCGGTAGATCATGGGAAGCAAGGACCTAATTCAGTGAAACATAAAATAAAAATTAAAGTTGGTTTTGGTTTAGCACTAAATAAATAAGTTCATGAAAATTTTTAACCTGTACAAAAGCATCTTCATAATTCCCTAATTCTAGGTATCTATCCGTGACATTATTTAGATTTTCTTCAAGTCCAGGTGGTTCTACAGGTGACAACAACTGTTGCTGATGTTGCTGATGCCTCAACTGATGTTGAATCGTTTGCTGCTGTTGCAGTTGTTGTTGTTGTTGTTGTTGTTGTTGCTGCTGCTGCTGTTGTTGTTGTTGTTGCTGCTGCTGCTGCTGCTGCTGCTGATGATGATGTATTTGATGTGACTGAGAAGCAGCAGCTCTCACAGAAGGTGTATAATTATATATCTCTTGGTGTGACATGGAAGGTGCTGGTGTTGAAGTTGCACCTTGCGGAATTAAAATTCGTTTTAATTCTCCAGAAAGAGAACGTGCTCGTTCATGCTGCAATGTTTGGTTGATTGTTAAGGAAATCTAGGATAAAGATAACGATCGATTATAAAAAGGATAACACGTTAAATATAAAAAGGATATTCTTCGGATGAACGACCCAAATGTTGTTGTTCAATATGTTGTCCGGAGACCTGCCTTATATTACCACCAGCATTTGCATTATTAACATTAGCTTGCAATTGTAATTGCTGAACAGTTAAAGTTAAATGCTCAATAGACGCTTGTAAACGTGCCAAAACATTCTGATCAGTACTTTGAGAATTAGTAAATGAAGCTGATTGAGCACTTTTATGTGCAATATCTTGTAATCCAGCCTCAAAAGTGGTGGTAATTTGTTCAAACATAGCATTAGTAGCCTTTTGATATGATGGGATTAGCACAGAAGTAAAATTTTCTCTGAACGTTTCTTCGATAACTGGTCGTATGGATTTGGAAACTCCTTTAGCAATTGATTCGATAACTGGAGCTTTTGCAAGAACGCGTGGCACGTTATCTGAAACCGCCTTATCAATAGCTGTTGGAATATTCTAAATTATAAATAATGAATAGGTTAATAAAATATTATTACTATAAACTATGAAATTACAAATTCACTAACTTTATTTACGGCATCAACCATCCCTCTATGAGCGTGTTTATCAACAGCACTAGTAACCATTTTGCTCAAGTTAGGAAGGACAGAATTTTGTATTTCGTTACGAATGGTTGACTCCAACAACTTGGATGTATTTGTACTAAGAGTTTGAGAAACGACTTTGAGTATAGTCTCTTGACGCGAAGTTTCAGCGGCTTGATGTGCTACACGTTCTTCCTCTATTTTTTGAACTAAATTTGAGATATAAATTTATAACAAAATGAGTTAATATAAAATTTATACACTTTCCAAAAAAGTAACGGATAACTAACATTGCTTTTCTAATTCTTTCGAAAACATCCTTCCAAGTTTATTAGTAACATTATCTTCCATCTTTCTTATTTCTTTCGTGATCGTCTGCATTTGTGCAGGAGAAATGCCGGCTGACGGTATAGCAGACTGACCTATAAATCGAAAGATTTATATCATGAAATGAAGCATCAAGAACATTTTGTGATATTGGTTTTTATTTAAATATTCATCTTAGTACCTTCTTGTGATTCCGCTTTTTTGCTTTTCTCTCCAGCTCCGCTACCTATTTTTCCATTGTTTTTTGAAATACCATCCACAGCCTTTTTACCTGCAGCTTTGCTGGTAGTTTCGAGGGTGTAATTTGCGTTCTCATTCCCACTATCCTTGTCCCTTTCCATACCACGACGTGATTCTTTTCTCCTTGAAGTCTTTTCTGAATCAGACGATAAATCATTATTCTGAACTGAAGAAGGAGGATGAGCAGCCTTTTTTTTTTCTTTTAATTTTGCTATAGTACCATTTACTATTGGACCAGATAATTTAATACTCGATATTTTCTGATTTTCTTGACTTTTACTTTCAATTTCATCTGAATTCATTGTGGATTCTATCGTATTACTTGTTGAAGGCTCTTGTCCAGCATACTTTTCACTTAGTGCAATATCTTCAGATTCGGTGACAAGAGCTGTGGTTTCTGAACTATATTCATCTCTGGTATTAGGAATTTCGATAGTTGTTGTACTTTTTACAATGTCCTTTTCGATATTAGCATCATTTGCTGTTGACAATTGAACAATTTCAGAATTTGAAGATAACTCTGAGGATTCTGCCATAGAAAATATATTTTGTTGTTCTTTTTTTATGTCTTCTTCTTGTTGTTGTTGATCAAGCGAAAATTCCGCGCTAACATACTCTGGACAAGCATCAAAATTTGGAGGCAATATCAAATATTTGGAAATATTATATTGCTGAACAGCCTTAGATTGAATACAATATAATGATACGCCCTGTGAAGAATTCGTATCAGGAACTATGACAAAGCTCCCAATCAGTTGGGAGACTGGAAATTCGATCATATAATCAAATTGAACGACATCTGAACTGTTTGGAACATCACCCGAGCTCATCGATTCATATTCAATATGATTTTGACTAGTAGCACCGAAAAGAGCCTGATTATAAGGGTCAAGCTGTTCAGATTTCTTCAGTGGAAAATGTAAGTGCAATGCAAATATAGATATCCTTGCACTATTAGCTATAAACAGAGTGCCAGATTCTTGATCAAAGCTAACACAATTAAACATTGCCTCCTCTTTTCTATATGATTTGCTTAAAGGGGCTCGCCGCTCTGGTGGTGGTAAGAAATTAATGGATTGTATGTATCCGCTTGATTCAACATCATATAGATGAAGAATCGTGTTTCTTTCGGTTCCCAATATCACGTAGCGGAATTTAAGCGAAGATTGTCCTCCATCAATAAATAATATTGAAGATACCTGTTGTCCATCGAGAATTATTCTGTTGACCGGATTTATACCAACATCATTTTCGAAATCAAGTTCCCAAAAGATGACACTGTCATCGCTTGCCGTGGCCAAAATCGTTCCATCGGGAGAGAAAGCAAGGTCATTGATGGGCTATGTTAAAAGACCATACGCATCAATGAAACAAAGTGTCCCACATCAAATTTGATAGGGAAATGATCTTTTAATTTGCCAATTAATAAAAAAAGACGGACCTTATCAAGCATTTGAGACTTCAAAATCTTTCCTGATATATCAGATTCTTTTAAACTCCTTTCCTCTTCGCCCTCCAAAATTTTATTTATATCGATAATTAACACGTCATTAGTATCCGTAGCTACCGCAAACACATTTCGAATCTTTGGATGCCATACAGCACGATGATATCGTGGAGACTTTAATTCATCAGGTGATTCATTAGAATTAATTTCAAGTAAAATCTTGAACCTGAATTAATTTATAAACAATAAATAAATAAAATCACCAAAATATATATTTATATATATATATATATTTTTTAAAAAAAAAAATCGATATATAAATCATTAAATTATAAGAAATATAGGAAAATTCTCATACGGGATTTCAACATCTTGTTCAGGCGGAGGTTCGAAAAGTTCCCAAACTGTAATTTTACTATCAATACCAACTGCAAGAAGCAATTGCGTTTCAAGTTCATCATCTATGAATTCATCAGATAGTACGTCTTGAATACACATATCAAGAATATACTTGTCGTGGTTTCGCAATAACGTTTTGCTACCATATAAAGTACTTATAACTCGTATTTTTCCACCTGTCGAAATTAATCATGCTAAGTAAGTTCTTGAAAACATCATAATCATACAGAAAAAATAAAATAAAAATTATAATAATAATTGATAAATTACCTTTAACAGCATAGCAAATATATAATCCATTAACAGCAATTGATTTTCCAGCACGATATTCCAACTCACTTGGAACGAGGGTTATTGTAGTCAGTTCTAGATCCTTACGGGACAAGACATTTTCATTTTTTTTGCCTGTATCATAAAGAAGGATCCCTCGCGGAAGTTTAACACCATCTGGGACACTGTTTAAAAAATTTTTAAATAATTAATTAAAATTTTAAAAGGAATTCAATTAAAAAAAAAAATTTACGTACCTTGAAATTGCCTGGGCTGATAAGTTTGCACGTATATTCCATGCAGATAATTCGGAAAGAAATGGTTCTGTATGTCGAGGCTCTCGTTTTTTTTGAGATGTCGAAGTAGACTGTACATTCCACTGGCTTGTGTTAACTGATTGTGAAGGAGAAGGAGGCGGTGATTTCTTTAAAATGTCAAAAGGATTGGTATAAGTAAACATAGATTTATTCGTCGTTGGAGGAGACTGGTTTGTTGATGGTGATGAAGTGGTGGGTCCTATTGATTCGAACGTCGAAATTTTATTGTAATCGACCTCCGCCTCAGAAGGTAATTCTTTTTCAACTTCGGCAGACTCTTCATTATAAGTTGCTTCTACCTCTGATGGATTTTCATCCTGAGGAAATAAAGTATCCACTTCATATTGATTTTCATTCTCCTGTTGACTGGGATACAGCGATCACAAAATATTCAATTAAAGAATTATATGATAATTAAAACTTAACCTAGCGTTGATAATGAATGTAAAGAGCACGATACCTTTCATCCAAACTTGTTGAAGACTGACGACCAAATAAAGCTAACTTAAGAGATTCTGTAGAAGCTTTGTCAATGTTCAATAAAGTAGGATCACTCGTTCCGGAAGGTGTAGTCGCTTCGTTTTCGCCACCAAAAGAAATTAAACCTGGTTGAGGCTGAGGTGTTACACTACCAGCACTTATTGAGGTTAACTGTGAGGGTGAAGTAATCGAGCCTGGGGTAAGGGATTGGAAAAAAGTAGTTAAAGGAATTGGTGACATTTGCGATTGTGAAGATAACTGTAACGGTGGAGGTGGTGGCGGCGGCGGAGGTGGTGGCACAGTATTTTGTGGATAAACGGTTGGGTTATAAGCTAATGGCTGAGGATAAGGTGCGGTAATGCTGAAAATTTGCATAGGATTAGGTGAACTTTGAATTGGTGGAGGGGTTGGTTGAGAAGGATATGATGAAGTAGGAGGACTTCTCTGAACGGCCGTGGTTGTTTCAGAAGGTGAATTTTGATTTTTGTGAAGGAGACTCAACAACGTTGCCGAAGGGTCCATGTCCATTTTTTTAGATATATTTTTTTTTTAAAACCGACTTTTAGTGAGAATTTTTTGATTCTTCAAGCGAAAAAAAAACTCTGGTTTTGACAGTTTGATGACACAAGCACACGACTTTGACAATGATCTTCCGCAGCAACAAGTCGCTGATATTACTAATTGAACAAAACACATGATGTCACTATTTTAAGAATTTGGCACATGATCAAAGCAATAAATGCCGACATGAATTTTCTGAGTGATAAAGTTATTCATTGTATAACCTAAATCGGATATTATAAAAAAAGGACTCAGAACAAGGGTTCAAAAAATTTTCTTGATTTCTCGATCAGCGCTCTAATTTTTAGCGTGGCTCAAGTTACAGATAATGTTACAATTAAGATTAGTCATGAAACCTGGGAAATCAAGGAAAAAAATTGTAGTTTGTGTTTATCATGTTACGGACTAGAATACAAGTTCTCCATTGTTATTTTTGATTTCAAACCATTTTTAAATAAATAAATATATATATTTTTGTCATAAATAAAAGATCAACTTGTGGACTTCGGATAAAAAATTTATTTGTAATACTTTGTAATATATGGAAATGAAGAAAATAAAATGATAATATGAATCGGGAAAGGTCGATTTGCAATACGACACATGATCCAAATAGAAAGATTAGTGGATTTAAGAAAATCAACGACTCTGACGGTTGTTGATGGAACAAGAAATTCTTCGAATGCATCAAAAAGGATCTGATGATTAATGCAACGTGGCAAAAATAATGTTGCATAAAAACGTTGGAGAGTAATTGTTTTATATTTCCTATTGTATATCAAACGTAAAAAGTTGCACATTATTTTAAGATGCAGTTTTATATTTGTATTTCCCCTTTTTAGGATCAAGCATTTCACAGAACTTCTCGTTACTCTAAATTCCATTTGAGGCAAATGCAGGTATCCAGCCCACTGTCTTGGCTGACGGACGGCCATCTTCGGCTGGAAGCTTTAAGTTGTACTAGTTTTCAAATTTAAGTTGAACAAATTTTTTTATCATAAAAAGCAGTTGTTTTTGGAAAATCGCTCCCCTTTACCAACGCACGCAGGTTTTCCCTTCAAACTTATTTCTTTCCCTTTCTAATCTATCTCCCTTTCCGTTCTTTCATAGTGCGTATAGTGTGCGTGTAGTCGTACAATTTCATTCTTTCAACTTTCCGAAGTCCCTTTAAAAAAGGACAGAACCTTCTTTTTTTCTAGTATCTTTTATGCGTTTTTTTGTGGACCTTTTAAAAGTCTTTTAATTTAAAGCAGTTGGATTCTATTTACCTGTCCTTGCGAAATTTAAAAAAAGTTCGACGACACATACATCGTCTCTCTTTACTTTCTTTTTTTTAGGCTTGTGACCTCGTTTACTTTTTTTACTTGCCTTAGTTTCATTTAACGTCTTTTCAAGGTAAATACCCAAACTGCATAAAATAACTTGTTTAGTTCATCCTCTTATCAGTTATCATGTTCCGTTCATTGGTAGTGAAAATATTCAATATGATTTTTTTTATTCATGTAGCAATTCCCATCTGCCGCAAGGTCTGTTAAATTAATTTATTCTTTTGAGAAATAGTTCAAAAAAAATAAAAAAAAATCACCTTCCAAGGTTGGTAATATTCTTTGAATTTTTTATTTTTATATTTTCCTTTATATATAGATATTTATGTTTTTATTTTTTTTTATTTTAAAAAAAAAAAGTATACGTTAAAATTTTTAAATTTTTTTTTTTAAAAAAAAAAAAATTATTTAAATTCATAGACCAACAACATATTTTCGACCTTTACCATATTTTACGTATAATTTTAATATAACTTGTATAAATAACCATCATGTATACTCAGAGGAATCAATCTTCGGGTACTTTACTCACTCAAGCTTTTCATCCACATTCAGCTGAGGATCAATTTTCTCAAGGTTTTCTTGAGGAACAACAACAACAGCAACAGCAACAATATAATCAAGAACAATTAGAAGAGATTCAAGAACAATTAAATTCTTCTCATATTGTTCAACGTATCCAAATGGCCGATAATAATGGTTTCTCTTTTCAGGCTTTTGAAAATCATTCTACAATGCTTGGAAGTTCCCTTCCTACTGATTGGACACAAAATTATGGTGATGACATGAGTGAATTCGTATTTAGTAACGGTGGAGTCTTCGTTGATGGTTTGATTTCTCCAAATTATGTCAATGATCCTTCTTGGGTGCTTGCTCAAACTGAGCAACAATCTCTTCACCATGTTGGTCAACAACAGGAAATTCATGCTACTGAAAATTCAGTGTCTCAAAATAATGATCATGTTCATTTAAGGGCCCAGACACCAGGTCCTTTACAAAAAACCAACATTCCAAATTATTTGACCATTCGTCGTCGAAGTTTATCCGCGGATAATATCCATGCATTAGCAAAGGCGCAAGCATCTCGTAAAGTTCTATTTGCTGCGCCATCCTTATCCCCTGCGATGAATTTTGAACAACAGGTCCAATTTTCGTCCATTCAAAACTCAAAACAACAAATTTTAAATCCTAACGGATTGCAACTTGATGATGCAAATAATAACCAAAATAATAATGAAAATGATGGAGATGTAAATAATCATAGCTCACAAAATACATCTGGAAATACGAGCCCAAATTCACAAAATACTCGATCGCACTTATCTAGAACTTCTAGTGCTAGTCCTATTAATCATGCTCAAAGGCTCAATGAATTACAAGCAAGATTTAAAGTAAAGTTAGATAAAAGGACCCAAAGAAGTATGCCGAATATTCAATTAACGGCAGCTGCTCAGAGTGCTATGCCTTTATCACAAGTTAAACCGAATACTTCAACGGGAACTCCCATTATGGATTTATTATCTGTATCAACTCCCAATACACCCACATTCCCACCCGAAAAATCTAAAATGAATGCTCCTCGCCGGGGACACATGCGCAAACGTTCTCTTTCTGCGCCTACGGCTCCCTTCCAATCCCAAAATGCTGCACAAATGCCAGGTTCAATCCCTATGCAACCAGCACAATCATTTCCACTCAATTTTTCTCTTTCTTCTTCCTTCCGTAGAAATGCTTTACCTATTCAAATTCAACGAAATCCTAAACATAATCACAATAGTCCTCCCTTGTCATCTGAAGAATATCAACGTAAATTGGATGAAGAACTTGAAAAGGTTGACTTTGATGATATAACAGTCAGCGAACTTAAAGAAATGTTGAGACAACGTGGAAAACCCGCCACAGGCAAAAAAGCGATATTAATGCAAAGACTGCAAGAAGAAGTAGATTATGTTAAAGCTATGAAAAACCATAATCAACAGCAGAAAACTAATGGTAATGGTAATAGTAATAATAATAATAACAATAATAACAATCAATTTTCTCAGATTATGTCGTCTCCAACGTCCCCATCTGGAGTTTCATTGCAAAGTCGTATTGCCAACTTGCACATATCCAGCCCACCAATACATTCTCGACGGTTCAGTCCTTACGGAAGTGTTAGCATTCCGGGTAGCCCTAGGATGATGCCCAGCGGGCTGGGTAATGGACGGCCTCAGTCCGGTTTCAACGGTGGCAATCTTTCATTTCCTGAAAACGCAGAAGAATGGCAATTTCAAAATGTTGGATTAGTACAGGGTAATATGTCACAACCTTTGTTACCGCATAATTTAGATGATGCTTCAATTATGATAATGGGACAACATTCACATGATATTTATGGATCCCAACAACCTTCTTCTGCTCCTCCCACTACTACAGAATTTGATGCCGTTGCCACTTCAGAATTTCAAGGATTTCAACAACCATCATCTGCCCCTCCGATGACTACAGAGTTTGTTGAAACGTATGATTTTATGAATCCAATGACCATGAACGTTATGTCAATTAACCCAGATATGATGAGATTAAGCGTTTCAGATGTTGATGATTCAAATATCTTATTAAAACAAGAACCAGGAAATGAAAACAAAATTTCTTTGGCAAATTTGAATGTTGAAAATAGACCGCAATCTGGATCAATAGTATCAGCCTCATCAAATGATACCGTAGATGGGATGTTGGTACAACAGGGTTTGGGGTTTGATTTTAATCCTCAGCATCACTTACAGGATGAAAATATGATGATTAAGTCTGAAGGTATTTATTTTATAAGTTTGCAATTAAAATGTTCAGTTCTTGTAATAATTTTATCCAATTTCTAGATAATCTAGATTTCCTAAATTACACTACGACGAATATGACATCTATTTCCCATCAGTCTGCACAACATTTGCCAATGCAGCTCGAGTTGCCACAAGATGGAATGACATTCGGCGGATGGTGAATTTAATTGGATTTTGGCTGGAACCAAAGATAACATAGATTTTAACTTAGCACAAAAAGCATATTCGCCATATTTATTAATCAATAATATTTATATATATATTGCCAGATAAGTTACATTAGATCATTATTTCATTTAGTATTTTTACTCCTTTTGTATTTATGAATTTTGTGTTTGCATTTTTTTTTGTACTCGTTTTTTTTTGGTTTCTGTTGCGTTTTAAAATCCTTTTTTTTTTTAAAAAAAAAAAACTTTGATTCAAAAAAAAAAAAATTTTTTTTTTTGTTTAATTAGCATCCTAACACTAACAAATCAAGAACTGAGTTTGTGGGATGAAAATTTATTATTTCCTCTGTCATATCATATTATGTATTTGATTAATGATGCTATGTGAATTATATTCATAATTCCATAAAAACCAAACGTGTAACATAGTATTTGATTTACATGACGTGAGAGAATATTTTATCATATCAAAAGCAGGTTCACAGTCAAAATTCCTTTACACTTTTTTTTATTTCATTTTTTTTTTACCCATCTAGCATCTGTATCGAGCAACTTACATAATTTTTTTATTTTAACTTACTTTTTTTTTCTTTTTTCATTCAAAAATTTCATTTCTATTATTTTTTTTGTACTATAGTTTTTTTTTCTTTATCTTTTTTAAAAAATCATTTTCTTTTTTTGCCAATCTTTTATTTTTTTATTTTATTTTTATTTTTTTTACGCAATAGATACATACATACACAAAAAAAAAAAAAAAAATACTTTAAAAAAAGGGGAATTTTTTTTTGTATTTGTTAATATAAAAGGAGTTGAGAATAAGAATGAAACCAAAAAGAAAAAAGTAAAAAATTTATTTTTGAGTTTTATTTTTTTTTCAAATTATATATAATATTTTTCATTTTTTTTCTATTTTGAAATTAGTTGAAATAATATATTATAAGAAATATATTTTTCTTTTTATTAAATAATAAAAATTTATATATATATATATATCTCGAATTTCTACATTAAAATATTTCTTTACTTTTAAATTAATTAATAGTAATATTTTCTTTACTAGTTATTTTTTTTACTATTATAATTTTAGCTTTTTTTTATCATAATAACAAATTATATGAATAGTAATATTAATATTTAAATTCTTTTCTATAAAAAGTTAGGATCTTTTATTTATTTATTTTTAAGATTATTTTTAAGATTTAATCAAGTTCAAATTTTTCAAATTTATTTTTTAAATTTGGATTCAAATATATAATATTATTTGTTTCGTCTATTATAAATATATATATATTTTTTTTTTATTTACAAAATAAAAAAAAATATACTTTTATTATTTTTATTTTATTTTATATTATATTTTTTAAAAAAAAAAAAAAATTTCAAAAAAGATATATATATATATATTATATTTTTTTATTTTAAGCTATTTTTATTATTTATTTAGTTATTTACATTATGTTTAATTATTTATATATATATATAAATACAAATTATTTTATATATTTTTTTTTTTAAATTAAATAAATTTTATCATGATTTTTCATGAAATTGCATTGGTGGTTGAATATTCCAATCGCCTATAATAAACATCAAAAAGTCCAAAAGAAATTTTAAATAAGGATGTTATCATTATCGTTATAGGTCGCGTTGTAACATATAAATAAAATTACCATCAGTTGAATCGGTATTTATCGCTTTAATACAATCAATGTCTAAACGGAAAGGGCCAGGTTGACTTAAAATAGAGAATCCAATAGTCTTAACCTTTTCCCTATACATTTCCATTTGAGGGTCTTGCACAATTCCATGATTCGTTAATATAAAATCTCTAAACGGGATCTAAATTCGAGAAATGAATTAATTAATGAAAAGAAAGCTCGTAATTCTGCACAAAAAAAAAGGTAAACACACTAATACTGTTTCCCATTCACCAGGGCTCCTTAAGAATAAACGATGTTGAAACAAATCAGTAATTATAGGACCATCAGTTTGTATATTTACAAAATATTTTTTGTTATCTCCACGTGCTCTTATAGATAGATAGCGATATAATGAAGTGTCCCAACACCTTATTCCAAATAATGACGATCCATGGACCTACATGATAGAGTAGGTGTGTGTTTTGACAAAAGAGAGAAGGTAGAGAAAATAAAGGAAAAGATATTATACCTTTGATCTTATACCAGCGTAACCACTTCTTGTAATTCGAGGATTATCTTTTGGTACATCAAGAGAAATATTCCCATGAAATTTACCACAACCTTCTTCTGTAATTTCTAATTTCGAATCAGAGAATCCTAAATAGTAGTAATGAGTGCGTTATTATCCACTTACAATCAATTAATCAATTTAAAGATTTTAATTTCAACCATTTACCACCAACATCTTTATCGCATCCTACAGCCCAATTTTCTAAATCCTTTACACTATTCAACCGTAATAACAATTGTTCATTATTCCATGGCGCAGGGTTAGCTTTTAAAACTAATTACAAAATTATCAAGGTTTTTGATTCATTGTCAAATGAAATATTTTATTTGTTTTACTTTTTGTTAACTTACTTTTAGTACCTCCTTCTTTAACGACATCCAAAGAACGCCTTAAAAAGCCGAACATCTTTTTTTCTTAATTTTCACATTGATACTCGTTCTAGATATATATATGATTCTCAATCAGTCGATCACATGGAGGATCCGTGATATCTTAACTCTAAAAAAATCATCTTTTTTTTTCGATTTTATTATATAATAAGGTATTCATTCCTCTTTCCTCATTATTTTTAAATTAATTATGCATATCCTTGGTAACATTCTAAAAAATCTTAAAAAATATGATAATATCATTCTAAATAATGCCTCGCAAATAAGTTCTATCGAAAGTTCTTTAAGAACTTTAACTTATGTTCTACCAGGCAAGAATCAAAGGTTTTTTTTTTTTGTTGGAATTTGAATACATTCTAAAGGTTAACCTACTTGGTTATTAGGTCGTTTTGCCGATGCCGAGTTCGCTTCTGAAGCGCGTAAGATTTTTATTTTCATATATATATATATTTATTTATTTACCTTTATCTTTTGACTCTTATTTTTTCTCCTTCCTGGTGTGTCTATTATATTTAGTCTTTGCAGCGTTGAATTTGATCGGATTATATCATGATTCGATTTTAGTTCGAGCTGCCGAAAATTTGGAGCCTTCAAAAAAACCAATTCCTTCCACACACAATAAATATACGAGATACTGGATTAATCTGTCAAAGACGTATCAAAGAGCATCATTTGCATTAACGTTTTTACAGTACACTGATGTATTAATGGAGATGGGAGTACAAAAGAAATGGGGTAAAAAAGCCAAATGGAGATTAATCACCACGATTGAATTTATAAAGTAAGTGACATTAACCGGAATTCGTTCGTTTTACGCGCATGTATTGACGAAAATCTCTTTCAATATTTCAACAGGGTGATATGTAGAATTATACTTTTTTATAAGACACAGGAACGTACAGTTGTTAATCCAACTATACCAAGAAGAGAAATTGATCCATCAATTTTTAATCAAGAGGAGAATTCTACTGCGAGTAATCAAACGTGGATGGGACTGATCACGAGATGTGAACGGGATAATTTATCTTTGGTGATTAATAATAACCTCACCTCTAATAATAATAATATTAATGATTATTTAATGAGTAAAGTGTTACATTCTGAAGATATTAGAAACCCATCAGAATTAGTTCATAGATTACATGGAATTGGGAAATTTGCCGAATTATTATTCATCTTTAGACCTCTCATCTATGGTACTATCAAGGTCAACCTTTATGTTTTTCGATTCATTTAAAAGGAAAATTCTTTAATAACTCGATATTATATTTCTATAGTCTTTGCATTGCAAAAATATGGTAATCGTTCATGGAAACCTTGGGTACTTTCAATTTTTATTGAAATATTAGCAAAAGTTTTTTTTGATCATTTCTACAAGAAAAAGGTACCAGGAGGATATAGATGGTTATCTACATTAGAAAAAGAGGAACACAAGAGACGTATCCGTCTGTTCCTCTTCTATATTCTACGAGGTCCTTTCTACGAAAAATTCACAAGGTAATTTTTTGATTCACCTTCAACAAAATTAAATGACTAATTTTAATTTTTATATGCCTATGATAAAAATCAATAGGCCAAAAATCAATAATTTTTGTCATTCGGTTAGCAATAAACCTATTTTATCATTATTTGGCGGGATTTTAAGAGATTATCAACCATTATGGGAGAATATCTATTTTTATAGTAAGTAATTTTTTATTTGACCAATTTTATTTTTATGCAAGACATTTACATGAGTTTTCTTTATCATAGGCGCATCATCATAAGGATTTTTTACGTGTAACATTGAATTTGAAATATAGGTATTGAATATTTGTAAACAATAAAACAAATAGATCATTTATTTGTTGTATATTTTATATCATTGGATAGAATAATACAATAAATATTTGTCATGTAAAACTTGTTAAATATTATTATTATTATTATTATTTATTTATTTATTTATTCTATTTTATTTTTTTTTTTGTTTTTACTTTTTAAAAAAAAAAAAAGAAAAAAAAAAAGGGAATAATATAAATGAATGTCTAATAGATTGAAAAAAAATTCTAATTTTGAACATTATAAATATATATATATATAATTGGAAATACGAATGTAATAAATAAAGGATAGGTTTATCGACCGACAGACATACTATTATTGCATAAATGTTCCCAAAAATACCATAATTCTTCCAAGGATCGATTTTTATTATCAACGAGCCCAAATTTCAATATGATTTCACCTTTAACATCATTTCTGGCGGTACGCTTTTGTAAAGTGTAGGCAGCAGATTGATTTGCAGGATCATCAAAAGCTCTAGGTTGTCCATCATTTAAACCACCATTATTTCTAGCAAATACTTGTTTAATAGGGATGGTGATTTCCCCAAGAAAATCACGACCAAAACGATCTTCATCCCATACTGTTATAACAATGAGTGGAGGCATATTCGCCTCATTTAATTTGATATCAAATGATGTATTCCATACCGGATTCAATGTTTTTTTAATAACTGCTGTCTCATATTTTTTATTTGCTACTCTAATTACCGCGTAAGGATCGGAAAACCCATCTCTATCACTATTAATACAAAAGAGAAAGAACGGGGAGAGTCAGTACGTGGTAAAGTCTTTCAAATGTGAGTGTTATTATTAAGAGTATAGTTTACTCATCTAAAATTGAAGATAACTTACGCGGCTGCTAAATCTTTAGCTGCAAGCACACCGATTCGAAGTACAGTTTCAGCCATAGTTTTATCAAGAAATGCTCGAAGGGTTTATACGTTTGTTTTTTTAAAAAGGAATGTAATAATGTTTTAAAGGTAGGGTTGTTTTTCTTTTTTTTTTTTGATAAAAAAAAGGGTTGGTATGTTGAGTGAAAAAGGAAAAGGAACTTGACCTTTATATATTCAAAAAAATACAAAAAAAAAAAAATCGATTTACTTAAAAAAAGCCAATAGATTTCGATTAAAAGGGCTTTCATTCGTCCAGATAATTTTTTTATATTACATTTTGTACAACAAAAACTTGTGTGAATGCCCGATTTTTATTCATTTCTAAAAAAATAATTCCGAAATAACCGAATAAGGATACTTATTTTACTGATGAGGAGATTACATGTAACAGTCGGCGGATCCAGTGGTTTGTTTGAAAATGAATTCTTTCTAGAATTTCTAATTCCTTCCATTTTTACAAAAATTAACAATGGTAAATACAAATGCTCCAAGAAAGATTCACAAGTTGACAAAAAAGCGTCGAATTAGAAGAAAGAATCAGTTAAATAATTTAAAAATGTCAGGAAAGTTACGACCTAGTGAAATGGTCCTTCACGGTAGACATAGATCTAAAAAGAAACAACAAAAGTTTGACAGATTAATTAGATTTGTGTGTCTCGAATTTTTATCTTTTTTTTGAAAGGAGCTTTTTTTTTGATTTTGTAAATTAAATTGATTGTTATTTTAATGTAGCAACAAAATCACAGAATGGAGAGTGGAGAGATGATAGTCGAAAAAATCAATAAAGGTAATTTATTTTTTAATTACTATAATATTTTTAAAATTCTTTTTACTAACACTTTGTTCATTTCGTTTCCATAGAAGAAGTTCTATCATCAACACCCAATACCAAAATGGGAACTATAATGGAAGTAGATCATTAATTTTTACATTTGGCTTTCATGAGTTTCCAAAAATAAATTTATTATTATCATAACAAATACATGCATATTTGCATATGTACATGAGAGTTTTACAATCATTTTTTAATGCAAGTAGTTTCCAATTATGAATCCTCATAATAATATCTTGATGATATGTCCAAATTATTTAATTCTTGTAAGGAAAGATAATTTTCGTTTTCATATTTCTTTTGTATACTTTCTGGTGATCTCCTCATCGAATCATCTTGCAATTTTCCTTGCGGTGAAATCCCTTTTTCTTCCAAATTTCTCTCCTCAAGGTCTTCCTCATTTATTAAACCCTTATGTTGATGTCTGCGCCAATTAACATATAATTGTAAAATTTTGTCTTCAGTTTCTAAACCATATTCTTCCATCCAATTATCGTCCTTTTCGCAAAATAATTTCCAACTATCTTCGGCATATTTACCCATACCAAATAACTGTTTGGGTGTCTTGAAATCTGGATTTAGTAAATACGTGTATGAAAATCTTATGATTCTTTCTGCTCTCGTATTCCTACGTGAAATGGAAAAATTTAACTTATTTCAAAATTTGTATAAGCTAACAAATTAGTTCTTATCTTAAATAGATGATACTTAACTGAAGTCCTAATGGACGTAATAAATCAGATAATTTATCTACATTGGCCAAAACGGCTTTCTGTGGACTTGGATATTCTTCAAAAAATTTCCACATTAATGGTAACGCTTGTGAACCTCTCGTACGATTTAAAAACATGGTTGCTATCAATAGCTTATATGCGCCGGAAAATAAAAAATAATAATAAAAACAAAAAGAGAAAGACGGGTGGGCGAAAGATAAAATGTATTGTAACAAATAATTGTAACAATTATCGTACCTTCCATGGGTCATAATATAAAGTTTCTTGTACAAGATTAAAAGGAGATGACATCGGAATAAATTTTGGTTTATAATGAATTGTAACTGATGCTGCTTTTTTTGCTTCTTCCATGGTTGGAAGTTTTGATTTGCCACTGCTCTTTAGATTGTCAGTACAAATTTGGTCTTGTTCGACATCATCATCGAACCTTTTTTCTGGAATGATCTCCATCTCCGAGCGGTCAATTTCATTATTGAATTTTATATCGTGTTTATCGTATGTGAGAGGAAGGAGATCATTGAATTTAGGATTATCACCTTTTTTAATTCTCTTTTTGTTCGATTTAAAGTATTTAGATATCTTCCCCGTTCGTTTCATCGATGCAATTTCTTGATCTCTCATAATCATATCTTGCAGTTTTAGTGATTTATGCATCACTTCCGACTCGGATTTAATCGTTAATAAATCATTATCTTGTATAAATATATTTTCAGCTATACCGCTATTTGACGCGTCATTTTCGTGTGGCACGTCATCTTCATCATTTTCATTTATGATGCTATTAAAATAATGACTTTTGATTTCGGTTTTAAGAACCTGACGTTTTATTTTCATTTTTTTTTTAAAAATAAAAATAACTTGAAATTATTTGTTCGAATAAGTTGAACAGATCATCGCAATTCGTCATATCTGATATGATATTAATAATTTTATGCGGGGTAATCTTACAAACATTTTAGATCGTTTTCCAAATTTGGAGAACTGGCAAATTGCCTATTTTTAAAAATTTTTTTATGTATTTTCTTTTTTTTTAAAAAAATAAAAAAAAAAATGTCGCTTAAGATTTTAGTAGGAACTTATAATTTAAATCAACGATTGTTAAATCAAGAACTAACATCATGGTTATTCCCTTTAAGCACATCATCCCCTTCATTATTAGAAAAACCTGATATAATAGCGATAGGATTTCAAGAATTTAATGAATATCCAAACGCATTCTTGAATATTAATAGTGAATTCAGAATTAAACATTGTGAAGGAATGATTGAAAAAGCGATATATAATTGTACAAGAGAACGATATTATCAGGTAACAAGAGGCATATTCGTCGGGTTAGCCTTGGTAATTTACGTTAGAGATGAATTGATTAATCAGATAAAGGACGTTGAGGTAGAAGAAATTGGAGTTGGACCAATGTGGATTGGTAATAAAGGAGCAATTATGGCTAGATTAATCATTTCCATTGATCCTAGCAGAGAAATTTGTAATTCAGTTTGTTTCGTTTGTGCGCATTTAGCTCCACATTCACACAATGTTTTAAAAAGAAATATGGATTTTCAAAGTATCATTCAGAGATTAGTATTTATTAATAATACGATTGATGAGGAATCATTTGATGACTTTGATGATAATGCTTTTACCCCATTAGTCGAAAGACGTAAGTCTGCATCTTACAAGAAGTATAATACGATGTATGATAATGATTATGTATTTTTTTTTGGAGACTTGAATTATCGTATTGAAATAGATTACTTTAAAGATCCCTCATTAACGATGTCAAGGCTAATGAATTTATTAAATACAAATCAACATCAATTGATATTACCATTTGATCAATTAAATATTGAGAGAAAAAATGGAAGAGTATTTAATGGATTTCAAGAGGGGGATGTCAAATTTTCACCTACCTACAAATATAATGTCGATACCGTGGATTCTTTTAATATCTCAAAAAGAATTCCCGGATGGTGTGATAGAATATTATATTACAATAAACATGATGTTGATGATGCCATCATACTACATCAATACGTTTCCAATAATGATTACACCACATCAGATCATAAACCAGTTTCTGCTTTATTCACGATAAATTTCATACCTCCTAATATTAAAACCACAAATGTTAACATTAATATTAAAATTGATAAATGGAGGGTCGTGAAGAAGGTCATTGGAAATATTTCTACCAGAATTGCCGGTCTTTTATGGTGGTTATTTGGAACCAGACGTGGTATTGAATTATTTATTGTATTGATCATTAGCATTTTGATTATTTGGTACTTTTTAGAAAACTTTTATTGAATAAGTTTCGAGGAAAATCTTTGAATGTTATATATTATTTTACTATTTTTTTTTGCATTACATTGATCATAAATAATTACGCAAATAATTATACAAATTTTTTTTTTTTGCATTTTTTATTAAAAGTACAATTTTTATAATATTTTTTAATAAAATTACTTTCTGCTCATATTTTTTCTTTTTATTCTTTATATCGTTAGATTGTATAGAATTAAATTCTTGTAAAGGGCGTTTGGTATTCTTTTGCATTAATTCTTTAGCAGTAATGAAATTGTCACATTATTTTCCTATATTATTTTTTAATAATATAAAAATATATTTAAATATATTTCAGTTAAATTAAATTTTTTTAAAAATAAAACATACCTGGATTAAAATATTGTCATTATCCAAATTAGAATTATCAGATTCACTATCAGATATAGTAATTAAAGATGATGTTCTTCTGAATCGGAAATATTTGGATCATTTTTTATCTAAAATTAAAATATAAAAAATATTTAAATAAATTTAATAAAAATCTAGTTACTGAAGATGATAATGAAAAAAGTGCTTCTTTTTTGTGATTATTATTTGGTTTTACATATGCATAATAACCTCTTACAAAATAGTGACTAGTAATACTATACTAGTATTTTCAGAATTCAAGATCAAATAATTCAATTATACTTGTTTTTCTTTCTGCTGAATGATTACAGATATTTCTTCCTTTAATATCAATTTCATATTCAATACATATGTTTTAAATATAAAACAGATGATACAATCAGCCAATTGTTTATCTTTGTACTATTTAGTTATTCATGATTTGGTACAAGAAAAAATTATATTACAATAACTGTTTGAAGATAATACTAGTTTAGCCAGCATAGTGGGTTAAACTTGATTAGTTAATTTTTAAAATAATCAGCACATATTAAAATTCATATGAAAAAATAATTGTTTAATCTTAAATAAATTGGTAGTTATGAAAATGAATTGGCAAAGTTATGACCAAAAAAAATCCAAAGTTTATCTTTTGTTTTATAGACTATCAAAATGATTTAGTATATAGTAAAGTAATTCAGAAATTATCTAATAGATATTTATTTTATTCTAATATTTTTATTATTAGAAGTAAGAATACAAAGTAAGATGTTTATATAAGAAACCTGCAATGAAGATCTAGCTTTTTTCAATAAGAAAAAAAGAAAAGTTTGATAATGTGATCTGAAAGGCTAGAAAAGTGTCTTATATAATTATAAAAAACACAACATATCTATTGTATCTGAAAGAGTAATCATTACTAGTCAAAATTATTTCTTTCAGCACTAATATCTTTCAGTTAATATTCAGTTGATTCGGTCATATTATTCAGCAAAAATTTAGTTTAAGTTTACAAAAATTGATAATTATTTATTACATTATACATAATTTAGTATTATTTCAGTACTATGATCTTTCAGCAAACATTCAGCTGATTCAATCATACATCAATAAATTTAATAAAATGTAATATTACGTAACCTTACATTCTGTAATATTATGAAAACTTATGAGGCTATGGTTCTCAAATTTTTTTAATGTCAAATTCATAATTATATTCTATTTAATTTATTAATATAGATGGATTATAGTTTGGAATGTAATTTCATTTGTGACTAGTCAGAGGTACTCCCTATAAATAATATGTATAAGGAAAGTATACGGAAACAATACGTTTAAAAAACGTATAATAAACGTAGAAAAACAGTATAATAAATTCGTAAATATTTCCGTATACTAGATACT